AATACATTAAAGTAATCACTATCCCTAAATAAAGACCACCCTCAAATAAAGACCATATCTAAATTAAGTCCATCTATATGATAAAGACCATCTCAAAATGAAATCTCTATTCTGTTTATATTATTTCAAAACTCTTTATTGTTTACAATCTATTAAGCAATAAACTGCGATAGTGTTACCCAAATACTGACAGTGTTACACCCATATCTAAAGTGTTACACCAATACCAATAGTGTTACACTAATACCAATAGTGTTACACTAATACCAATAGTGTTACATCAATACCAATAGTGTTACACCTATACCAAAAGTGTAACACCAACACCAATAGTGTTACACCAATACCAATAGTGTTACACTCATACCAATAGTGTTACACTCATACCAATAGTGTTACACCAACACCAATAGTGTTACACTCATACCAATAGTGTTACACTCATACCAATAGTGTTACACCAACATCAATAGTGTTACACTCATACCAATAGTGTTACACTCATACCAATAGTGTTACACTCATACCAATAGTGTTACACCAACACCAATAGTGTTACACTCATACCAATAGTGTTACACTCATAACAATAGTGTTACACCAACACCAATAGTGTTACACTCATACCAATAGTGTTAAACCAATACCAATAGTGTTACATCAACAACAATAGTGTTACACTAACACCAATACCAATAGTAGTACACCAACACAAAAGTGTTACACCAATACTGATACTATTACACCAACACCAAAAGAAATTACACTAACATCAACAGTGTTACACTAACACCATAAGTGTTATACCAACACAAGCAATGTTACACTGACACATGGGTAGGTAGAATAGCACTAATATTCTATAAATACACCAGAAAGCTGGGATTCAGCATTAATAAACTCACATCGGTTCCCTTTGTTTAGTTATCTCAAGGTTCAAATATAACAATATGTTAGAAAGCTGGGAACAAGCACAATTATACTAACCTGGTGGGTCCCATTGTGTGGTTCCCTCATTATGGTTGATATAGAAGTATCTGTTTGTGCTGGGATCCAGCTGTTTCTCCCAGCCTTTCTGAAGGTTTGGTGAGGGAACCGGTTTAGGCTTTGTCTTAGCTTCTGTAATATACAGAAATGACGCTAATATGAAACAGTTTCTAAAGAAAGTTAGTTTATATTTTCATTCACTTTACATTTTAATTTATACATCATGATGAAACATTAACCATACTGTATTTAGTAGTAGATTCTATATATAGAATAGTTACAAGTTAAGGAAGAAAAATTATAAAAAATAACCCCATACTTATTAGAATACTAACTTAACATAACTCCATAAACTGATATATCTACCTTGAGGTTAGAGACTGTAAGAAAGAAATCTATTTTGACCAATTTCTATAATTTTCATTATCAATTTTATCATTTCCCATAATCTTTTTTTACATTTCCAATAATCGATTTTTATATTTCCTAATAATTAATTTTAACATTTCCCACAATTAATGTTTATATTTCCTCATAATCAATTTGATCATTTCCAATAATCGATTTTTATATTTCCCCATTATCAATTTTAACATGTCAATTATCAACTTTTAAATTTCCAATCAACATCTAGATTTACCTTTCACAATTCTGACATCTCCCATAATCAAATTTTACATTCCTACCACCAACTTTTACATTTTTTTTAAACTAACTTCAAGATTTCTCCATTAACAATTTTCACATTTCCTATCAATTTTCACATTTATTTTCAATGATCAATTTTTACATTGCCATCATCAACTTTCATGTTTTACAAATTTTCACATTTACAAATTTTCACATTTCCCACCATCAATTTTCACATTTACAATAAAGAAAGTCTAAACTTACCATTCATTAACCTGATCTTCTCATCAGCAAAACGTTTAGCCTCCGCAGCTTTCTTTCTATCTTCTATATCCCTTTCTCTTTTCTCTCTTTCCAATCTTTCCTTCTCTGTTCTTTCTTTCTCCAGTCGCAATTTTTCCCTACGCTCTGTTTCCAATCTGTCTAGATCAGCCTACAAAGTTACACAAATTTGTCACCTTAGTGCAATAACAGATTAACTGCTATTAAATTTAGAAGCACTTATTATGTTATTGCAATAAGGTGATGACATGTCATTTCTTGAAAAATGTAAGATATCAAGGCAATTCATATGTTGCTGTAAATAGGCTATTGCTCTACCGAGGACCACAAAGTTGAGGTTGCACTGTAGATCTTTCAAGAAATGACATGTTTCTATATTTCTCATTATCAATTGTATCAATTCAATTCAAAAGATTATTTGCATAAAGCATGTAAAAACAATGCCTATAACATTTTTGGTAATCAATTTTTGTATTTCCAATAATCAATTTAATCACTTCCATCTGCATCAGTTTCATTCTTACCTAAGTACAACTTCACAACTGACCAATAAATGTAACCTTTCTAGAGCAACCACTCTTAACAACAATTTTCACCATCAAAACTAGGGTGTTACTCTGTATCAGTTGTACTGTATCAGGTAAACTTATGCTCAAATTTTGGATATAAACATTTATAATGCAAAAGTACAAGTAAGAGATCAACATTTAAGTTCCACCAAAAACAGTTACGTATTTATGGTAACTTTCCTGCTTTACATGTGGAGGAAGACCTCAGGTGCCACTCTGTGCATTATTTCAGTCACGAGCCAACACCTGAGTAGAACCAAGACCTTCCATAAGCTAGCTGGATAGCTTCCTCACATATAAGAATCCAAAAACTCTGGTGAGATTTGAACCAACAGCAGTGTGGATCCAGTGGTTTGAAGTCAATGACTTTAACCTGGCCACAGACACCCTGGAAGATATCAAAGAATGAGCGATCATATATGTTATATTACCTGTTGCCTTCTCTTTTCTTCTAAGGCAGCTAGTCTATCTTTCTCCACCTTAGCTGCCAACTCCCTCTCCCTCTGAAGTCTTTCTTCAAGTTCAATTTTCTCCCTTGCCTGAACAGCGAAAAAAAACAAAATGAAATTTCAAAACTTTTACAATCACGTTGTCTTCAAATAACATATATTGACCATATAATTATCATTTTAGTCTCAAGCAGGCATCAGGGTATAAAAATCAAAAGTATCCAGCCAGAATGTCTCCTAAAGCAGTGAGAAGGAAAGAGAATTTAAGTCAGCAACTTTAACAAGAGGGCCATAATGGCCCTGAAGTCGCTCACCTGTATATAGCCCCCTCCACCACCACCCCTCCCCCCCCCTGGCAGGGCCAATTTTAACCCAAGGGCTTTTATTTGAACAAACTTGATAGACACCCATAAGAAGATGTTTCATGCTAAACATCTAAGCTCTAGCTCTTTGGGTTTCTTAAAAGCAGATTTTTTAAGTTTTTACTATACACATATAGTTAATAAATGACACCCGTACGGGGCCAGTTTTGACCCCAGGGCTTTCATTTGAACAAACTTTGTAGACACTTACTAGAAGATGTTTCATGCTTAATATCTAAACTCTAGCTATTTGGGTTTTTTCAAAGAAGATTTTTAAGTTTTTACTATATGCATATATACGGAAAATTAATGACCCCCTGGGGCGGGGCCAATTTTGACCCCAAGGCTTTTATTTGAACAAACTTGGTAGACACTCATTAGAAGATGTTTCATACTAAATATCTAAGCTCTAGCTCTTTGAGTTCTTTAAAAGAAGATTTTTTAAGTTTTTACTATATGCATATAGGGAAAATCAATGACCCCCTATGGCGGGCCAATTTTTGACCCAAGGGATTTTATTTGAACAAACTTGGTAGACACTCATATAAGAAGATGTTTCATGCTAAATATCTTAGCTCTAGCTCTTTGGGTTCTTTAAAAGAAGATTTTTTAAGTTTTTACTATATGCATATAGGGAAAATCAATGACCCCCTGGGGTGGGGCCAATTTTGACCCCAGGGCTTTTATTTGAACAAACTTGGTAGACACTCACTAGAAGATGTTTCATGCCAAATATCTAAGCTCTAGCTCTTACGGTTTTTTAAAAGATGTTTAAAGTTTTTTCTTTCGGTTGCCATGGCAACCAGAGTTCTGAATGGAATTAAATTCTTTGAACAATTTTTAAAGGTGACCACCAAAGGAACACTCCTGTGAAGTTTGGATGAAATTGGCTTAGTGGTTATGAGGAGATGTCATTTAAAGTAAAAGTTTACGGACGGATGGACGGACGCCGGACGGACGCCGGACGAAAAGCGATCACAAAAGCTCACCCTGTCACTTTGTGACAGGTGAGCTAAAAACTCAACCGTTGAGGCCACAAGAGCAACAAAGGTCGGGAAACAGACAAAAGTTGCCATTTTCGGAACTTCACTATATAGAGTATTACCCTAGGTATCCACTTGCTTATCACCTGGATAAAAACCAAAAAAAATCAATTGATTAAAATTAGTTCTTCAATAAACATGCTACAGTTATACATGTACCTTTCTTTGGTCTTCTGCCTTCATCTGTTTAATTCTTTCTTCTGCTGCAGCAAAATCTTTCCTGTGCTGTTCTTCCTCTTCTTGTGCTCTCTCCCTAGCATTCTAAAAGAGGAATATCAAATTAAATAATCAAAGTTTGATATCTTTTCTACTATAAAAAGAGCACCTTCTTAATATCTTTCTCAAAAGACCTTTCTTACATGAACACCTTACCACAGGCTCCATAATTATCAAATCATTAAGAAAATGGCATCTGTTTACCAGACCATTATGAAAATAGCATTGTTTACCCATCAAGTATAAAAATGGCATCTGTTTTCCATTTAACTATGAAAATGACATCTGTTGACCCATCTACTATGAAAATGACATATATTTACCCATCAACTATGAAAATGGCATCTGTTTCCCAGATAATGAACTAAAGTAGCATCTGAAATTTTTACAGGGCAATCGCAAAATATCTAATTTCATCACTTCATAAAACATCACATACTTTCACTATAATTACTACCTTACCTTTAAATCTTGTTCATCTTTAATTCTTCTCTCATTCTCTAATCTCTCTTCTTCCTTCTTCTTTCTATCCATCCTTAATCTGTCAACTTCTTCCCTTCTTTTTCTCTTTTCTTCCTCTGCTCTCGATAGCTGTTCCAATTCTTTTTTCCTGTTTATTTAGCAATATAGATAATGTAAAAATAGTTCACAAATATGTTTAAAGATCCTGTAAGTTCTTTTTATGGTTTTATATCATAAATATGATGCTCAAATGAAGATTTATCAATATTGTAAAAAGTTTCAAAAAGCATTATTTGTAAAGATATTACCGAATTTAACATTTCATGTAAATAAAGGGAGGTAATTAGAAATTAATTTTCAATAAAGTCTAAGCCAATTTTTTCAATAAGAAATGATTGCATTTATTTTAATGATGACTTATAATTTGTATAAACACTTGCAGTACATATTTAACATACTGTAAAACACTTGTTTTTCGCGAGAACCTTATTTCGCGAATTTGAGGCAAAATGTCCAAAATAATTATTTCGCGTCAACATGAATTCGCGTCTTCCCGAAAAATGTGAAACCAGAAACCCGATGTAATTCGGAAATTTCTGTCCTATCCGTTTACTAACTTTGCGTCGTTTATTGTGCGACGAATGCATTTATATCTGTATCGATTTTCTGATAGCTTGCTTATCTTTTTGTTAACTGTAACCGTCTGTCTAAAAATATGTCAATAAAGTTTGATAATTATTTGATATGTGTTCACTGTGTTTGTCATGTATTCTCCGTGCCTCTAGCATTGTTACTAGTAATATGACATCTTTAAAAGACGATAATTTCCCCAGCATGCAAAGTGTTAAAGTTTCACTGATGAGCCATTCAAAGGCAAGCAGACGAAAATCAATTAAACGGTACTGTAATTTGCCTAACCTGTAGAAAAGGATAATGCATGTTTACCCTCCGGCTTAAACTGTAGTACAATAGACCTACAATAGGGTACAATACTAGTAAATAGAAATGTTACAAACAACTCGCAGGTGCTAAAGTACATTGTACTTGATAAATTGTGTTGGAAATTTAATTAATCCATTAAGTTGGACAGATTTTCACATTAATTAGAACAATCTGTAGAAATACTATTAAAATTTTGTGAGACTCATTAATTTGTTTATACTTAATTCTAGTGCAAGTCACAGTTACCTTCCTTGACACAAGTAATATGCAGCGAAGCAGTTTCTTACTAATACCTCAATAATATCAAATTGTTACAGGTAAATATTTCATAATAGTAATCTGTACGATATGTATATGCTGCGACACTTGAATAGCTACATGATATAACTAGAACTGGTTTCGATACTTTCCCGCAGATATATATATCCATGTGTACGGACAAGTGTATAGACAAAGTGAAATATTCGCGAGAAATATGAATTCGCGTCTTAGAAAACTCGCGAATATTAGCGAAAATAAATTTCTCGCGAATAATAAGTGTTTTACAGTACTCTTGGATGCTTGGAAATTGTTTTAGAAGAATAATTATATACATATATAAAATTTCACGCTAGTGTTGTGACATCCTTAATTACAACATAAAGGATCTTTAATAATTATCTATCTAAGCTCAATTTGAAATGAAAACTTATTAGCTTATCTAAATCACAAGTATTTTATAGTAGGGCAACAATAAAATTGTAAATCGGGTGCAGCGCTGGCTTTTGATTTTGTGGTATGGAGCTCTCTGACAGGGATTTTTTCTTATATTTGATCAAAATATTCAATAATGTATATAAAGTTCTTCAGGCTTGGCAACCTTCTTAATTTACAAACTTTTTTAAAATCATCTTTTTTTTATTTATAATAAGGAGCATCATAAAGGAAATTAAGAAAGGAAAGAAATGAAGAGAGGAAGCACAAGAATGAAGGAAAGAAGAAACAAAAGAAGGAATATCAAAGCGAGAAAGAACATAGGAAGAATATAAGATAGTGTGAGCACAAAAAAATATTTCCTGCTATTAACAAGACAATTCAATGTTTTGCAATACAAGATTGTCTATATATTGCAATACAGGTTTGATTGCATCATGCACCTACAGACATTAAAATATATATATCATAGTAACCTGTGAGTCTCCTCTTGTTCTTTCTCAATTTGTTGATACTGTACTCGCTGTTTTTCTTCCGCCATCTCACTATGTAGATTCTTCTTCAATCTGTAATATCAAATGATATACTTGAGTATTTACTCTCACCCACCACTGGTTTTATGTATTAACAAATTCATTTTTTCTGCTTTGGTTTAACCCTTTCGCTGCCAGAGAGTTATTGCTATATTGATCACCTATTTGCCAAAGGGTTTTCTAAGAAATTACTATAGTATTAATTAGTATAATTATTATTATTTGTTATTAGTATTATAATAATTAATGTATATATGTTTCCAAATCTGTTAGTATAATAATAATTATTGTCGATGGTATAATTTTCTTTATATTTATTATTATTATTATTATTAATTTATTATTATTATAATTATAATTATAGAAACGGCTAAAGCCGTCCATATGGCAAATACGCCGAAAATAACAGGGACGGCATAATGATAAGCAGTCCCTTTGGCAGTGAAAGGGTTAAACCTTGATTGTGAAACAAGTTCTTGCAATTTATATTAATCACTTTCAAGTCTGCTTCTTGGAACCAACCAGAATAAGGGCTAGAACCCATCATCAATGGGTTGAGAAGCTGACATCTTAACCACTAGGCCACTGCTCCCTTTTGTTCTGCTTTAAAATCAGAATGGTCCATCAGTGGTTTCGGGGACTTCAGTATCAAAATACGGCTGCTGTCAATTTATGAAGAAACCTGACTTTTTTCTCTAAAAAAGATGCTTGCTGATTTATAAATTTGTTATTAATATGTCTGACAGGTTACTAGTATATGGCATAATATAAACAGTTGATTGCAATAGAACCCTCCCCAAGCGGTGAGGGTTATATTTACAAACAACCTTTTATATATGCCCATATAACCCATCAAAAATCTTTATATAACTTATAATATACAGTGCAACCTCTGCAGAGAGGCCCTTTGTAGAGCACTACCCTCTTTGCAACAACAGTACGGATTCTTCCGGAAGTAAGACTTTACAATAAATTAAACCTCCCTAGAGCAAGATTTCATGACAATAACCAAAGCTTTTGGCTCAATAATCTGAACAGGTTTTACTGTACAATGAGGCTGTTTTTTTACCTCATTAGGTCGGCCACATCAGATTGCTGTTTCCTTTTCAGCTCCTCTAGATCTGACAACTTCTTCTCTTCATTCTTCATTTGCTCCATCCTGGCACGCGACTCTGCTTCCATCTTCTCGTAATTTTCTTGAAGTTTCCGCAGTTCTTCCATCTTCTGCTTCCTCTGTAAATTCAATGCCGTCAATTCATCCGAAATCTCCGTCGATTGTGCAGCTAAATTTGTACTTGAACTGTTTTTGATATCCTGACTAGAGGCCGATTCTGCCCTGTAGTCAGCATTCTTAAAACTTGAATTACTAATATGGGAACCAGCCTCAGTTGTTTTGCTATATAAACTGCTTCCCGACTTACTGACAGCTCCTACATCTGGATACAGAGAACCAGTTACAGGTTTGTTAGAACTTATACCAGTTTTAGCAACATTTACTTTGGTAGATCTATCAATTTTTGGTTTTGTAGATCTATCAATTTTCGGAAACTGGGAGGTAACATCCCCATTTGTCAGAGAGTTAACACTGTTTAAGGACGATGATGAAGCTGATGAATCAATAGAACTAGTGCCTGCTTGTTTTGGTTCCATAAAAGTTTCATCAAAATCTGGATAATCAAAATCCACTGAAATGTAAAAGAATGATAAAAACATATTAAAGCTACCAATATGTTACAATCATAATGCTTCAAGTCAATCATTTATTTCTTATTTCTGCTCGAGCTTCTAGCAGCATTGATGCAGCATGAAATAAGCTGAGCTGTTACCTTCGGCTCGCAGGTTATACTGGGTAAATTTTTGAACTGGTGCTAAACTAGCTTGGAATAATTATGTCTTACTTGCAATGAGGGGATATTGGGATATTACAAAAGAATTTACTGTCTAATGGTCCCTGTATAATGGGGCCTTTTTAAGCAACTGTAATATCTATTTGTCAAAGTCCTCAATATTTCCCAAATATCATTATTCACTAAAGTATATTACATGTTGAGGGTTAATGTCTCATAAAATACATGACAAATGTAACATGCATGACAAATGTAACATATGATAAAAGGTAATTTACATTAAAAATGTAACATACATGACAAATGTTACATACATGATAAATGTAACATACATTATGTATGACAAATATAACACAAATGAAAAATGTAACATACATAACATATATAACATACATGACAAATGTAACATACATACCAAATGTAACATACATGACAAATGTAACACATGATAAAATGTAATTTGCATACGACAAATGTTACATACTGTACATGATAAATGTAACATACATGACATATGTGATTTACATGATAAATGTAACATACATGACATATGTGATTTACATGATAAATGTAACATATATGACATATGTGATTTACATGATAAATGTAACATACATGACATATGTGATTTACATGATAAATGTAACATACATGACATATGTGATTTACATGATAAATGTAACATACATGACATATGTCATTTACATGATAAATGTAACATATATGACAAATTTTCTTTTTTGAAACAGGCATGACAAATATAACACAAATAAGAAATGTAATTTACATGGCAAATGTTACACAGCAAATATACTACATGACAAATATAACATACATTACAAATTTAACATAAAATAATTGACAAAAGTAACATGCATGTCACTTGAAACAAAGATGGCCAACATAACATTTTCTAGAAAACAAAAATTTGGTGATTACATAAACAGGAAATGGGAAAGATGCCATCAAAGCTGATTCAGAAAATAGAAGGACTTTAACCTGAAGTTAATAAAACAATATAAAAACAAGGATGGTTCCTATTTGTTCAAATAAATTATCAATTCAGGGTTCATTAAAAAGAAGGCCTCAGTCAGTCTTATTAAATATCTCCCCAGCTGTTTCACATGCTTCTGCAGAAGAAAAATGGTATATTAACTTTCTATTGTGAGATATTTTACAATGTTGCTAATATTGTTAATACAAGTAATACAAGCAAACATTTTTATTGATTTTGGTATTTAATAAGCTAATTTGTTGGAAACTATCATATCTTTACCATGCACTTTATCATTCTTTTTATATCAAGCATGTTTTCCAACAAATTTAAGCACTTTTTAAAAGTACACAGTCATGTTCAAGGACTTTTAAGGACATTTTTTGTTTTCTAAGCACTTTTTGGTTTATACAGAATTTATTTTAGTTCGATTGTGTAGGATGCTATAAGCTTATAGACACACTTTCAAATCCGTTCCTGGAACCAACCAGTACTGAGCAATGAGTGTAAAGTTTCTTGCTCAAGGAAACAACGAAACTTGCCCCTGACAGGGTTTGAACCCACGCGCCAGAGATTACTAGTCAGGCGCATTAACCACTCGGCCATGCAGCCACAGAACTTTAAGTATTTTTATGAAAGGGACTTAAATTTAAGCATGTTTTATGACTCTACCAACCCTGATATTTATCTATCAAATAACCACTTTTATTTAATAAAGAAAAGTTCATATATTGAAATCTATTTATTATTGTACAGTTATCTATAACATAATCAGCTGTGAAGTTATTTAAAGTGCATCCTGTCCTTCCAGTTTGTGAAGTGTACTTTATCTGATTACCAAGACATTAAATATATGTGATTAGGACAATAAGGGCTATGTGAAAGGATTCTTCAAGGGTACGGCTGTGAAGCATAGTTAAAATTGCTGTTGTAACGATTTTGATTTGGGAATTTTTCTTGAAGATCTGGTAAAAAACCCAACTCCTTTCCTTGGGAATATTGCCCAGCATTTGGTAAAAATATCCCTTAATACCACCTGAAAGACATTCAATGAACCCTGAAGCACTGTATGGCTTTAAAAAACAATCAAAAAGTTAGTGTTACATGTATATCATTTATTGTATAGAAGTGAAACTTCCCTTTAGGTTTGTGTTTGGAAACAGATAGTGTTATAGTAGTGATATCTGAAGAAAACTTGATATTGCTAAAGCAAATACTTACTTAAAGAATCTTGAGTTGAGCTCACCACAGGTTTTTTAAGTTTATCAAAGACGGGGTTCACACATTTTGTTGGGTACTGTAACATCCACTGCTCATAACCGCCATCTAAAATGAGTGGCTCACTTTTGATTATCACTGTCGAGTCATACTGTAATTGAAATTGTTCAAATAATCTTAAATATCTAACGTCTAACGAATGAAACTTTAATGTGGCCCTACTAAAGCATCTAACTGCAATTTTTTTTGTAAAATATTTAGACCCCGTCTTACAAACGAGTCAGACTTATGGGTGAGTAAAATGTACAGTATATTGATTTTCTATATACAGAATACCCTTTTTTCATTTATCTTATATTGTCTATAAGAAACTAAAAACTTTAAATTTCATGAAGGTCAACTGTCATTAAAAATTTTGTTTGTGGATAATGTCGAAAGATCCATTTCAAGTTGCAGTTTATTCAAACTGTATGAAAATCTGACTTTTCACAAATATTGGAAATTAAGCTTTTATGTATCAAATAAAATACATCAACTTCAGAATGGCAATTTGTTGTATATACATAAGTTGTACATGGTGATATTACAGCGACTTCACAATATCAGGTTATGACCATTGTTGCATTATAAGTTCACATACTTTGTGTACTTAAACATTCAAGGTTTTCTTTGCCAAGCAGATTGTTATTTGTGACTTGTTGTTAGCAAGTACTCTCCTTTTTCTGAAGGTAGATAATGTCAATGATCATACAAAACAAGTAAACAAACTGTGTTGTAAGTGCCCTCCAGTGATTAAATAAAAGAGGCCTTTCATACAGAGGCCTATAAAAGGCCTCTTCCCAACTGAAATCTTTTTTAAAATTGTGCCGTTTCCCAATTTTTTACCTTACACAAGCTTTTAAACTTCCAAATTAGAAATTTTAGTGAATTTTTTCCCAAAATCAAGAGGCTATGGTCTTTTTCCCAATTGAGTGGGGAAAACCACTGACCTCAGTAACCTGTCAAATTCTCAATCCAGGGCTCTAGGCAACATCTTGTATTGAAGGTAACAACTAAGTATGGTAAACTGCGAACATATTTAAGGCCTCTCCAGTAATTTTGGGGGCATTGCAAATATGTGAAACTGCCATTTTTTTAGGGGAACTGTCAAAATTTTTGAGAAAATGCCAACATAGTTACAAAAATACTAATAGTAGAGATTGCAAATATTTTGGGGGCAAAATTACAATATATTTTAGTTGACCTGATACTACCTTTTTTGTACTTTGTACCAATATATTTGAAGAAATCATGTATCCGATGCTCTCCCTATTGAGCTTATCTGGCAGACATCAAATCTAGGGACGAATTAGAAATTCCACAAAATGTCATGTGTTCAAAGCTGTGACAAGTTTTATTCAAATAATATTACAATTCAGTGTGTCATAAAGTTAGCAAATTTAAAAAGGACACTATAGAATCTCAGTATATAATGGTGTCTACCTTGAACAGGGCATCCTTCAGTGTCTGTAGACTGGATCCAATTTTAACCTGGTCTATATGAGAATTCCAGTCTAGTAATATGATATGATCAATGTTACCCCTTTGTTTCCATAGCGACAAGGAATCCATAGGTAAAGCTTTCTCTATGTATGTAACAGTTGTTCTGAAGACAGAAATAGATACATGTATTTTCTTACTTAACATGCATTACCTCCCTTAATGGCCATTTTTATGGCCATTCTTACCTTAATTAAGCCTGTTTTACGAAAATTGAATCTATCAATGTGACCGCTGCAGACCAAAATCAGCTGTCACATCTGAACTGTCTGGTTATGGTATGCACTGTTCACTTTTCAGTCAGTATATATCATATTCAATTAATCTTGACTGTAAAATGATGAATGGTTTTGTGTTGATTAAAGATGGGTAAGTCCATTTAAAATAATAACTTTGGCTAGTATTAAAGCAGCATTCAGCTTTTCTAAAGGTCAAATCAAAAGAATATATGTCGAAAATAATAAATTGCCAACAATAAAATACAGGAATAATAAGGAAACCCCTCAATACCTCTAATCTACTGGTCAATTCTAGATTTTAATCAGTAAAGCGGACCATTTGTTACTGAATCTTCGCTTTCTAAATTAGATATGAACGTCAATGACCTGTTATAAAAAGGTCTCAGGATGTCCTTTTGAAGAATGCTTATCAGTGATATGATGCACTTTTGCAAGATAAAATTAATGAAATACTTTCTTTGGAACAACACAGAATTGTTCTACGAACAGAAAATAGAAGTTGAAGGCTGCTTTGATAAATTATATGCTTGTAGATTAAACAAAAATCTCTCAAATTATTATCATCTTTATAAGCTGACAAAAAAACTTTTCAATACTGACGGTTCTTTACAAAATTTGACAATTCACCTTAATCATCCATTTACCTTTCTTATTTCCATATTTCTTCAATCATATATCATCAACAAAGTGCAGTAACAAGTTAAGTCCTTCTAACTTTAATAGAAGTTAACAAATTATTGCTCTAAGATGACAATATATTGAATGATAATTCTTTTGTTAAGGATCAAGTAAACTGAAAAAATTCAGTTATTTTTCCAAATTCCAAAGCTATAAAAAACAAGAGCCGGTTGAACCGGGTGATGCTCCCCGAATAGGTTTTGGACACAGGAAGGTATACCTCTTGTTGTGTCAGAGTTATGTCACAGACAAAGTTCAAAGTGTAAAAACAACCCAAATATTTAGCACGACACATTGTCTCAATATGGTGATCATTTTTGTGAAATAGTTGTAAAATCCGATTTCAAAAACAAAGTTATGCGCCTGACATTATTTTGCTGCAAGGTCATGCTGTGACCTTGACCTTCAAGGTAGTGACCAAAATGTTGCATGCGACACGTCGATTCAATATGATGATCATCTCTGTGAAATAGTTGTTAAATCCGACTTCCAGTAACAAAGTTATGGGCCGGACACAATTTTGCTGCAAGGTCATACCGTGACCTTGACCTTCAAGGTAGCGACCCAAATGTTGCGCGCCACACAATGTCTCATTGTGGTGATCATTTCTGTGAAATAGTTGTAAAATCGGACTTCAAACTAGAGGATGCTTTTGTAAAAAAGCGCATGTCTCCCCCACTGCTGAGAATAACTGTGAATGGAAACAGGAATGGAACTGGAGAAATCCGGAAATGAGAAAATGACCAATGGTCACTGTGACCTTAACCTTTGACCTACTGACCCCATAAACAAGAGGGATCATCTGCTCAATAAGACCAATCATCCTATGAAGTTTGAGGGTTGTAGGTCAAAAGGAACTCTAGTTATCATCCGGAAAGGAGAAATTAACCAACGGTCGCTGTGACCTTGACCTTTTGACCTACTGACCATTAAAACAATAGGGATCATTTGATTAATAAGACCAATCATCCTATGAAGTTTGAGGGTTGTAGGTCAAAAGGAACTCTAGTTATCATCCGGAAATGAGAAATTGACCAACGGTCACTGTGACCTTGACCTTTGACCTACTGACCCCAAAAAACAATAGGGATCATCTGCTCTATAAGACCAATCATCCTATGAAGTTTGAGGGCTGTAGGTCAAAAGGAACTCTAGTTATCATCCGGAAACGAGAAATTGACCAACGGTCACTGTGACCTTGACCTTTGAACTACTGACCCCAAAAACAATAGGGATCATCTGCTCAATAAGACCAATCATCCTATGAAGTTTGAGGTCTGTAGGTCTAAAGGAACTCTAGTTATCATCCGGAAACGAGAAATTGACCAACGGTCAGTGTGACCTTGACCTTTGACCTACTGACCCCAAAAACAATAGGGATCATCAGCTCTATAAGACCAATCATCCTATGAAGTTTGAGGGCTGTAGGTCAAAAGGAACTCTAGTTATCGTCCGGAAACGAAGAATGGACGGACTGACGGACTGACGGACGGACTGACGGACTGACGGACAGGGCAAAAACAATATGTCTCCCCCCGAGGTGGGGGAGACATAATAATGAAGCTATGTGCCGGACACAATTTTGCTGCAAGGTCATGCTGTGACCTTGACCTTCAAGGTAGCAAGCCAAGTGTTGCGCATGACACGCCATTTTAATATGGTGATCATTTCTGTGAAATAGTTTAAAAATCTGACTTCAAATAAGGAAGTTATGGGCCAGACACGATTTTGCTGCAAGGTCATGCTGTGACCTTGACCTTCAAGGTAGCGACTTAAATGTTGTGCATGACATGTCATCTTAATATGATGATCATTTCTGTGAAATACTTTTTAAATCGAACTTCAAATAGCGAAGTTATGGGCCGGACACAATTTTGCTGCAAGGTCATACTGTGACCTTCACCTTCAAGGAAACGACCCACATGTTGCGCGCGACACATCATCTCAATATGGTGATCATTTCTGTGGAATATTTATTAAATCCGACTTCAAATAACAAAGTTATGGACCGGACACGATTTTGCTGCAAGGTCTTGCTGTGACCTTGACCTTCAAGATAGCGACCCAAATGTTGCGCGCGACACGTCATCTCAATATGGTGATCATTTCTGTGAAATATTTTCAAAATCCCAACTCCAAATAACAAAGATATGGACCGGACACGATTTTGCTGCAAGGTCATGCTGTGACCTTGACCTTCAAGGTAGCGACCCAAATGTTGCACGTGACACATCGTCTCAATATAGTGATCATTTCTGTGAAATATTTTTAAAATCCGACTTCAAATAATGAAGTTATGGACCGGACACGATTTTGCTGCAAGGTCATGCTGTGACCTTGACCTTCAAGGTAGCGACCCAAATGTTGCGCGTGACACGTTGTCTCAATATGGTGATCCTTTCTGTAAAATAATTTTAAAATCCGACTTCAAATAACAAAGTTATGGGCCGGACACGAATTCGGGACGTACGTACGGACTGACGGATGGACAACCCGACGACTATATGCTCCCCTGAAATTTTTCGGGGAGCATAAAAATTACAAGGTGCGTTTTTCCCAATTAATCTGGACATCAACTCTTTCCCAATATTTTTTTAATTGCTGAAATGACCCTCAAAATAGCTGCCACTTTAATGTCAAGGGAGCTAAATATCGTTTTACAATTGATATATAAACAATTATGGCTGTATACAAGCAAAGAAGCGTACCCTGGTTTGATGGCCTCGGCAGGCACATTGATTATATTTTTATGATTAATTCTCGTCTCCTGGAAATCTTCCATTGACCGTACATCCATGAGAATAAGCTGAGCATCTCTGTCCTCAAATAAGTCAAATAACTGATTGCATGTTACAACACCTGGGCTGGTCTTTGCTGCCTCTGGAAGGGCACAAAATAAAGCAATTTAGTTATAAAAGCTGGGCTGGTCTTTATAGTTACAAAAATGTATAAATACAGAAAAATGTGCATGTTATAACACATGGGCTGGTCTTTGCTGCTGTCAAAAGGGCATATTTAAAATAAATAGAGGATACTGAATGAGTGTAAGTTTAACACTGAATTTATTGAACAAGTTGAATAAAATTATATTATGCGAGTCTTTGGCAATTTAAATTTGTGACATATGGTTTTCAAAATGGCCACCCTATGATCTACGTCTTGACCATTAAATTTGATTTGAATTGAATATATCTTTATTTCCTTGTGTCATTCAGCAAAAAATACCTATATGTAACAGTTTTTGTACCGTAAGTTCATTGTTTGTTTTTCTTCTTGTTTCAAAGCATTAAGTACCATGAACCAAGAGGTTCACAGTATAAATCAAAAGCTCATGATAATAATTTTTCATTTTCCAAATTTTCAAGATAATGTTTTCGGCAAAAAGTTTGAAAGGATTGACAAATTTTGTAGAAATGAATAGTTGTTTATTCTTGAAATGAAATTTTTTATAGCAATTTTGCCTGATTGATAAACAGCTTCTTCAAGTGATAGACATGATAATATAACTTTACAATATTTCTTAACATCAGGATAGGTCTTGATAATAATTTTATTGACAATGTCTCTAAATCTGGGATTATCCATTAAATATATGCAATATTAAAGGCACTAATTCCTATAATTTTTCAGAAATACATTAGCACTTATATTCAGTTATTATTAGGTCTGTCATAGAAACGATATTGATGTCTTGTCAAAGTATTTTTGTCGATCAGTAAATAGATACAGATTAAAAAAAATCAATAATTTTGAATAATAATTAACCTCAGAAATCAATATTTTTTCAAAGTCTTTAAAAATGTCAAATATTTGTTTAATAACACTTAATTAAGAACATGTTACATGTTTAATAACGGACGAAACTGGGGCTGGATGTGCAGTAATGTGTCGTAAAGATAGCAAAATGTAAACACAGTAGTATTTTGACTTCCATACAAAATATAAATATAATGTAAATTAGGAGGCCTTTGGTGAAGGTAGAACTTAAGGTGTACTTCCTATGCTAGTTAGATTAAATGCCTACAGAACAACAATATGACAGCTCAATTGCTATACACACGAGCATAAAAGACCTTGCCAGATGAGATTTTCTTTGAGTTACTCCCCTTGACTTATAAGTATAATATGCAAAAAATTAGCCACCTTACTGGTTAACTCCTATTAAATTTAGTAGGACTTAAAATGAGGAAATGTAACTTTTTTTTTTTACAAAATAACCAATCAGTAGATGTTCAGACGCCAGCTGTAAATATCAGTACCAAATGAGGAGTACCTTCAGGCTGTTTTTCCACCGGTTCCAACTTTTTGTCTGACTTATCAATACTATCTTCAGCCTTTTTCTCATCTTTAGTCTCTGTTTTCTGTTCCACGGTATCTAGGGATGCAAGTTTACTGGCAACATTTTCCGCTTCTAACTGATCATACCTGCAAAAATGATAATGTTCTTATAAACAAACCAGCAAGGTTAAGACATATTTAACTCCTGATTTTTTTTAATTAAGCTCCCTTAACAAACAAAGAAAACAAAAAACGGCAGGAATTTAAGGGGTCATTATTCCTATACTGATATTTAAAATCTAGAAATCAATGTTTTAGGAATGCCCTTATTAATAGTAAGTCGTAGAGATAATTCAAGTTCTGTTAGAGATGTACATCTTCCTCATATTCAAGATTACTTTTATAAGACACTTATCTAAAATATCTATCTATCTTTTTTTTTTTTTAATGAAGTTTATTATACGTTCAATGATTAAGCTCTCATTAATGCCGAAATATACTATTATACCTCGTGATGAACGAGGAACATTGCACACTATACATTTTTTGTATACAACATAGTAAAACCAATGAAGTCAGATAAATTGAAAATATTTCTTCGCTAAATTTAGCTCTGCAAATTTTTTTGGCCTGAGTGATACTATAAACCGAAATTTCCTTAACAATGTGCCCGAGTGATACCATAAATAGAATATAACATAATACATGTACCTGTTCTTGAGACTGGACGAGAGTTCCTCAGCCTTGCTTATAGATGTGAGAAGATTTTTTGCACCCAACAAATCATCATAGTATGCCTGTAAAACAAAAACCCTCCATCTCTTAAAAATTGAAATAAATGTATTGTCAAACCAGTTTTGCTTCACTTATTTTACATGTTGTTTATATACTAGTATTTTGGACAATCATCCACTCCAAAGAATTGAGAAAATATTTGTTGTAAAAATTGAACAAAAGTTGTCCGTAAGACAGCTCGCTTGACTATTCTCAGTGCTTGCCAAAAGAAAAGAGGCATTAGCTCTGTAAAATGTAACTCAAGAGTTATGGGATCTGTGCCCATTGTGTTACATAATTATAACCACTGAGAACAAAGTGTGTTCAGTCACAACCCATTAAACGATCTTCCATGCAAAAAAAATTGACCATAATGTGATCATTACAACGCAAGGGTGAGTAAAATAGATCTCCCTTTTGTTCGAATAGTCAAGCTAAAATCTGTAACATTTTATGCATACATAAATCAGATTATCTACTGTAATAAAAAAACAGTGAAGTTTTTATTCATAACAGACTTTAACAGATCATAAATGAAACAGATACATCGTAAGACAAGAGCATTCGAGTCATTTCATAGATGGCCCCAGGGATCATGCAAAGATATCTTAAAACTTTAATACGCTGAGTAAATATAAAAGATTTTTTTTTTTTTGGGGGGGGGGGGGGGTATTTTTACATGGCACCAACACAGTATAGGTCATATGGCAACTCTCCAGCTTTACTGGTGGAGGAAGACTTCTAATGCCCTTCCAAGCATTATTACAGGCACAAATAGAACCACTGATGTTCCATAAGCTAGCTGGATAGTTACCTGAAAATAAAAATGTCACGAGAATTATGTGACCAAAGGCTAACAAGAAAAGCCAGTGACTATATGTTCACAGTGATCACTTGATTTTTTTTGGCACAATTTGGCCAAATATAAAGGACACCTAGTTACTGCCCATTATGCTTATAAAGTTTGCAAAACAAGAGCATAAATTGGCTTTGCTAACCTTTTGTTTCTTGTAGTCAGCAGATCTTTTCAGGAAAGTTACGACATTGAAATATTTCATGAACAAGACGTAGGCACGTTCCTCGTCTTCCATCATCTCACTGTGCTCCGCTTCCTTCAGCATCTTGTCCGCCGTCTTTACTAAACTGAACGTATACAAAAATCATAACTAAATAGTTAATTTATTACAGTATATCTACAATATAATATATTTTTTCTCTGCTTTATATTGTAGAAATATAGTTCTATTATTAATACCCGCTGTATCTTTTTGATCCATATCTATTTGTTAATTACTTTACATTCATGTTTTTGCGCAAAGTTGTCACGTTGATGTTGGCGTCCTAACGGACGTGACGTCAAATACTTTGTACGTTATTCTGATGAAGACAACAGTCGAAACTATTAAAGATTAAAGAAATATGTGTTGTTTTGGTGTATTTTAACTAACTTAATTCAGTCAAACTTGTAAACAAAGATCATTAATGGGACAATCTGCTTTATTTACAGGGTGCTCTTTAATTTCAGGTTGACGTGGCTTTTCCCAGTGTCACCACGGGTCAAATTATCAGACCCCTTCCAAATGGCAAATATGCTTAAATTTTTTCCCAATCTTAAATATAAAAAAATTCCCAAACTAAAATTCCTGATATAAAACCTGACAAATTTGCTGGAATCTTTCCAGTATGGTATCAGAAACATCTTTACACACATTTCAGCGTCAAATTTTAACGCATTTTTATGCATTGACTGATATTTGCATTGGTTGGAGTAAACAGTTTTACTCATAATGCCAAAAGAGCACGAAGGAGGTTTCAAAAGGTACCTAATATTTTTCCAATTAAGCACATTACTGACACAAAATTTCCCAAACTTGGTAAGGTACTTTTCCCCAAAATGGCTAGGAAATGGCCTGGTTGACTTTAACACTGATTTTGACTGTACAACCAAAACAATCCCATCCCGAATCAGATAAAATTTGTTAACAAATTTAAATGTACTGTTAACTTTACAAGATAATGAAAATTTGGTTGCCCCAGGGTCAAGGTCACTCATGAATAACAATATACATGTAATTTCTGGTAATTGATAAAACAAGTTTTTCGCCAACATCAGCTACATGTATATTATTAAATATGATCTTCATTATGCTGGGTATTCTAAGCAACACTTATTACTAAAGCAAAGAAAATTTAAAAATATGACTTAAAAATTTATCTCCGACAACACTTTTAAACATTCAGCCTGAAATTCAGCCAATTATGACCAATGAATACAGGAATTCTTTGATTCTGACTGCTTTAAACAATGAACCCACCACAATTATAGGAATTATGAAATTTTCAATGTGTTCAAAACTGCCTGACACTTTCATGATACTTACAGTTTTGCATTCGTGTTCTTGAACTTTGCTGGCAGCTCTGCCATCTCATTGAGTTTTCCTATACTCTTTGCTATATATAAATCCTTCTTTTTTGAGCCCGGCATTTTGGTACATGTATGTTAACCTAAAAATATAATAATAATGATAAATTTACTGTTAAAGTGTATAAAGCTATATATCAGATGCAAAAATTATTGTTTTAATTTTAAAAATGTATTCTTCCAAAAATGCTTGTATGAAATAAATATGGTAAGTTATTGCCTTGAAAGCGAATGGCGCATGCATAAAATCATTGCTAAACAGATAAAACATTACTTAAAATAGCAAAATTATATTTTGTTCCGGAACATTTTATTCTGTTTATGTACATAATTCATGTGTAATAAATAACAGAGACTTTCTATGTTACAACTTTTTCGGGAATCAACCATATAATAATGGAACCGATATGATTTTACTGTTGATAAATCTTGTTAAAATATATCATAACATATAGATTTATACCCTTTAACTTTATATCCTCATCATGTATACAGTTCCCTTAAAATAAACAGTAGTAAAAGACTCCTGTCTGATTTTTAAAGGCCCATTGTCTCCCAGAATTGCTTATATTTTTATTTCTTATTTCGGTGTCCTGTTAAAGTTTCAAAAGTTACTCAATGGCAATTTTTGCTTCTATTGCCTTTTGGTGATTAGGGCTGCAGCAGTTACAGTAATTTAGTATTTTGTATGGAAGTCAAGATACTACTTTGTTTACATTTTGCTACTTTTAAGACAAATAATTTCACATTTGGCGATACTTCATGTGATAAGCATCTAACATGCTCATAAACCATTATTTCAACATCTTAAAACTCACGACTGCTGTTTCTAAAGAAGGACAAACAATATTCATTTCTTAGGCATAATGTGCCTTTAAGCATTTTTATTTATTGTGGTGGTCCAGCAAAAACAATAATCATTTATTATTCCATCTACCCATCACCTGCTGAAATCGGAACTAACAGAGATTAGTCTTTGCCACCAGTATAGAGCCTTAAGCAAGGCCAGCCTACACATGCAGTCTAATCAGCCATAGTCATTAGAGGCCCTGTTTTTACATATTTTATAAAATCAATGACTTATTATTGTCAAATGCTAATAATATAGGCGATAATTGGGCCCATACCGCTAGCCACTGCCCATACATGCCATAATGTCCAGAATTATTTCCAGGACACTTGGTTCTAAAATTAACATAGCAGCTTATGACTTATATGATGCAGTAAAGCATGCCCTATGCTTTATCACTGCTGTAGCATAAGGGATTAAGCATACCTGTTTTTATACTGTGACAACAACACATCAGACGAAAGAAAATGTTATGGCCGAAGAAGCTTCACAGCAGGGGACATTACCACAGACATACGGCACGATCAAAAGTTAGACCAAAACTTAAATGTACCTTAGTCCTTTCTATTTTTTAAAACATTAAAACAATCAAACTAAGTAATCGTCTCGAGACTCGAATGATAATGCAGAAAAGCATTTGCAAGTATGACAGGCGCTTAAGATAGTTTGGAATGCTAGAAGTGTCAATCATCATTACAGAGAGGTCTTATCAAGACTTCAAAAGACTTTGCCAATGTGACCAACTGCTATGTAAATGTAGGCGGAATCATTTATTGTTGACAGCAAGCAGCAGGAAGTAAAATTCAGTAATTAATCTTTTAACTGACAGAGAAAGGTCACACATACTTATCAATCAGTGGATAAGTGTCAACAGTTCTTGTGTATTTCTAAACTGTCTGGGGAAATCTATCTGATATCAGTGCAGTCTTTGAAATTAACATTTTGCAGTTACTCGCCATCCGGGCCAGTATCTTTGTAGTTCTAAGTTACTTGCTCAACGCCAACTTTATTAGCCCAAATGAAGTTTTCAAATTTTGATGTTTTTTCTTATCTTAAGGTAAATCAAAGAAACATTAGGAAATCTCATACAACTTTACAAGTCTTTTGTCATAATTTTTTTAATTTTCATTCCCTGCTATACATGAATTTCAATTTTTCTCTCGTGTTCTGATATTTCTTTGTCATCTTCATAATAAAAGTTCATTGTAAAACGGAACATAAACAATGTTGGGAATCAGGGTCAGCTCCACCCTAAAACATACTTGGCCCCTCGAGTCTGCTCCGCCCTATTCCAACTTGGCAGGGGTCAACTCGGCCCATAATTATATATTACTGGTAATGATTACTTTTATTGCTTCTTTTATGTTTTCATCATAACTTTCATTGTTTAACATTTTCACAGTAACAGACCTCTACTCAATGTTATTGAAAAGTTTAACAGATGAAAGTACCAATTTGTATGTGAATTTGTAGAGATGGGAAGAATTTACGGTTTCTATATGCACATTTTGTCTACTTCAGATGTTTTTTGTGCAATACATCATTCAAACAGCATTGGTCGAAAAAGAACAGTGTTAAATACAATTACATTTATTGTCATAAAAATTCAATTTTCAGATCAAAACATTTATTGTCTTGATATCCCTTCTTAACAAAGATAATTTCAAATAATACGTACATGTGCACTGTCAACTTTTTCAATTTCTGTTTGTTAGTGATTATACCTCTGAATACTTTATAGTAATTTACTCCTTAATTTTTATAAACTAAACAATCTGAACAATGTATATCCTAATAAGGGGAAGTCAAAGACTGGGCCCGCGAAGCGGGTCCGGGCTTTGGCTTGCCCGGCTATAGACTACACGTGTATATTTAAAAGAAAATCAAATAAAAAACAATTAAAAAAATATATATATAGAATTCTATACCTATCAATGAAATTTTCAGTGTCAGTTCTAGTCGGGCGCCGCCATTTACAATGAAACTCAATGATAATAGGCGGGGTATTCCGATAACGGAACAAATCTCAACTTTTCGGATCAATAATAATCGTCGAGTGTTCCGAGTGAAAACGGAAGCGGTGCATGTAATACCGAATGACACCTTTAAAACGGAAAGAATGAAAGGATTTTTTTAACGACTTCCCCGTTTATAGGCTTTGCCTAATTTCATATTAGGTTTTTAATAGAGGGCCGAGTTGACCTGTGCAGAGTTGGTATAGGGCCGAGTTGACCCTTTGCCCAATCTTGGTACTCATTAAATTATTGCTTTTCATTTCTTATGGAAGTAAGCGGAGAAACAGTAGTGATGTGGCAACAAGTGCAGCTGAACACCACTAAATGAATGTCAGGATAAGAAATTTTACTAACCAGTGGGGCCAGCAGAATTGGATCTTTCAGTCGCCTTAATTTTAATTTTACTCCGAGTCCGTTGGGCGAGTGCTAATTTCAAAGACTGTCAGTGTCTAGAATAATTAACAAGCAAATATAACTGCATAAAACTTAGTCCTATAAATATGATACCGCTTTGAGATATTTTTGCTTCTGGGCAAAGCATTGCCCAATGAAGACTTACAACAAGCCGATACGTCTAATATTTTGGACTACATAGAAGTGTTATCATTCTTGCTGCAAATAAGTTCCAAATAATTTTCTATTTCTATCCTGAAAAAAAAATATTCCTCGGAACCACTCCAGGATGTTCAGCTGATTTCTGTCACAATCCCCGAAGTCCGGGACGTTATAGCATGTATGCCACTGCCTTTATTTTTAGCATAAAAATTTGACACTTCCAAAAATAAAACAGAATTTTATTTTGAAAGCACAACTTTCATTTTCTGCGACAACAGTCAACACTCTTCTTACT